GGGAAAGAGAAGCAACTGCGTTAGCACAAACAGCTCTGCTAATACAAATTTATTAGTAACTCTAAATACACACCATTTTAAACAATTTCAGTGTTTTCCTCAGGCAAGCTCATTTCTAGATGAAGCTATAGCAAATACTAAAACTATACATGATTCTTCTTCTTCAATACTGAATTAGCCAATATTTAGAATTTCAGTCCTGATATTGTCCTCATATTTCTATTTCTTTCTTTAAATTTTTACCCCTCAAAAAACATACAGCACATAGATCAAGTATTTTGATTTTTATCAGCTTTTATAGAGTTAATAGAAGTAACTATATTTAGAAAATCTACTTTGTCATTACATGACGCACTGCCTGTACCTGATAATTCAACAGCACCTCTGAATGCACCACTTTCAGCAACTTATCCTGTTATATTTAACTTATTCCCAACTAAGAATCTAAGCAGAAAAACAATTGCCTTCAGCATGAGTTACGTTTTCGGAATTGTTGACGAATCAATACTCAATAGATTTTACTCATACATCACATATTTCTTTTTGTTGGGCATATTTAAGATTTACAAAATAATTCATTAATAACTGCAGTCAGAAAAATGTTGAGTTACAAAAGTAGCACAAAATACAAAAGTAGCAAAAAATACACTGATGCAACACAATCCTTGCATTCTCTTATCTTGATGATATAGCCTCAACCCTAAGATTAGAAAGTGACAATGTCAGTCTGTATCATGTGATCATTGGTATCAAAGAATACAAACATATATTCAACATTTTTATATTATATATTTGTGAAATATATGAAAACCGAAAATGAATGAAATATATCATTGAAATAAATGATAAGGAAAAACAAACAACAATGAAAAACATTACGGCCTCTAAGAACTTCTGCCTGCTTGGTAAATATTGATGTAAATTTGACTTTAAAAATGGGCCTTTATATTACACAGAAAGGCTTTCCTTAAAAAAGAAAACACACAGCTACTGACACTTTTACACTGTGGCATTCAAACTGCATATCTTTTTCATACCTAGATGTTCCTGTGTTTGGGTGGTGGCTTTTCTCTCCAGCTTGCAGCAGAGGTTGTACTTAAGGAAAGAAAGGAAACAAAATTGCCTTGAGAGGACACTGTATTGGGCATGATATGTAAACTGAGAATCTAACAAAAACATTGGGTTGCTTTTAATTTTAGCTTACTCTGATGGTTTCTTATAGACTTTTTTTTTTTTTTTGAAAATTAGCTCTTCTGATATCATAAAGAGGACTACATAAAAGCACACACTGAAATACAACAAACTTTGAAGGACTGATTTGAGAAAATCTCTACATAAATAAGTAATATCAAAAGACGTGAAACGCTATAGACTAGATAAGATACTGAATACATTCCATTTTCTGCTACATGTGAAGTAGCGAAATTGCAGTTTGAGAATATTTGTCCTCTAACAAACTGACAATCTGAGAAGATAAAACAAAATGGTAGGTCAGAATAATCAGTTTGTAAGGTTCTTAATAACAGAAAAGCGAAAGAGACAGGAATAATGAAGAATGTCTGTGAAGAGAGATGTGAAAGGCAGAACTTGGGTTCCAACTCAAGCCTTCTGCAAAGCCCAGAGGGTTCATATCTAATTCTGAGTTGCTGAACTGTGGAGAAGAGTGTCTCTCAGCAAGTGTTAGCATGATATCTTTGTCATGCAGCGGAGTAGCAAAGAGAAAGCCTGAGACTGCGACTCAGTGCTGCACACCTTACAGCTTATTGACGAGAAGGTTCACAGCTGATTTCATTACTGTGTCCTAGTACTTGAAAAGACATCCAAGAGCAGGTGCTAACCAACCTCAATGAAAAAGGTGTAATATGATCCAGTGACTGGAATTTTAATTTAGACAAATTCATCTTTGAAAAGTGATACGATTTCTTAGTTGCAAGCATATCACACAGCTGTCTGATCCCATCACTATGTAAGGGGATCTAGTCACTAAATCACCTATATGCTAAGGACTTGAAATCTGTCAATATATCAACTCCTTCCTTCTTCTCTCTCCTCTGTGGGCCACAATAAGTTCCCTGACTTGTGCTCAATATATCCACAAGATATGCTGGAATGTTTTGCCCTCACTAAATTGTTGGGGCTTCATGAAGAAGTATCTCAGCATCCTTTGCATTACAGACATAGTAACGCTATGTAATAGTTATAGTAAATGTTATAGCCTTGAACTTCGTGAAAGCATTGCCCAATATACGGAACTTAAGGCACAGAAGATGGAAAATTAAAATAATTTACAGCAGTCACTAACTTAGTATCCAAATTAGGACATTTAGGACAGGATTCATCCTCTCTAATTTTACACAGCTGCAGTGCAGAAAGATACATCTGAACCACTCATCACAGGCTTCCTTTACAGTCAACAGAGGAACCTTAAGGGAACAGCTTGTCTAGCCTGTTTGATGGCGAACCACACCGTACAAACGTTTGCAGCACAGATCTTAGGTGAGACAAGTCCCAGCCATGCACCCCAAGTGCCTCATCAAGACAATGGGGAAGTTCAGCTAGTGAGCATTGCTGGCATAACTAGTTCAGCTCACAAAAGCCCTGCCAGGCAGTAAGATTCGAGGCTAGCAGCCTGGATCATCACGAACAAAACAAAAGCCTAAGTTTCGCAATAAAAACAATCCATACAGCTTGACTGTTTTTGTGACCTGTAGCTGCAAAATGCTCTAATCCAAAAGGTATTTACTCAAGCGCAGGCAATGCCTAATAACTCTGCAGTGAAAATGTAGCTTCAGGACCCATCTGACAGGGATACCGAGACCTCAGCTGTGCAGAGATGTTTTCAACAACCTTAACTTGGTAACACTTGGGTCCTGAATAGCAGAAGTGCTGGGCACTCAGAGGAGCAACTCAGGTCAGAGATGTGCTTTGCAATACGAAAAGAGAAGGAGGTCTTAAGACAGGGTGCATCTTTTATCGGACTAGCCGATGTAACTGGAAATAAAGGAAACCTCTTCACATCTTAAGACTACCATGTCTACAATCATGCTGAAACGTATCACGTTGTGGTTTACACAGAGCTTTGAGGATAGGAACTTGGCACGCGACAGGCAGCGCTCGGAGGTGGCTGGGAGGCGTGAGAGCCGGCAGGCCCGGCGTGCTGCAGTGGGCGTGTGGCGGGACGCCCGCAGCGAGCGCCCTGGTGCCTCTCGAGCCGCCTCATGGGCTTCACAGAGGCCATCTGAAACCTTGGTCAACAAATTTAAAAAAATCCCGTAACATCCAGAGCACTATGTGCACACTGCAGATCTATTAAAACAAATAACTAAACAAATAACTAAACAAATGCCTGAGGAAAGTCCATGAGGCTCATACCCAAGTTTTGTTTTTCTCGGAAGACAAGGCAAAGAAGAAAGACCACCTGATGGGGACTCAGGCAGGGACTGATGTACCTGGCCGCTAGGGCGAGGTGCCTTTCGGGGCTCTTTTCCCCAGAATTCAGATCGAAACCTTTCACTGACCAAACGCCCGCCCCCCGCTTTCCTCCCCGACCCCGACCCTGACCCCGGCGAGACAGCGGCACCGCGGCC